AGTCTTTCATTAAAGGGAGAGGATATTTGCTCTCCTTGCAAATGGCATTTAACCCCCTGCAGTCTGTACACAGTCTCAACGATCCATCTTTCTTTTCTCTAAATAAGACAGGCACTACCATCAGTGACTCTGATGACTTGTATGAAACCCCTCACCAGATTTTTATCAATGAATTCTCTCAACATCCCTGGTTCCTTAGGAATCATAGAGTACATCCTTGGCTTAGGGAATTTCGACCCGGCATAGTCTGTTGCCCTGTGGGGGGGCAGCTGGTCCAACTCTGCCTCACAGCCTCCAAATCCCTGCATTGCTCCGGAATCACATCAGGGCACTCGAACGTGCCCTTCTGGGGTGCCCGTACGCTTGCAGCCACTAACGCCGCTGCCAAAGCCCTGACCCCAGACTCTTTTTGAACAGTATGAGTCCCATCTTTGAAGATCATGCTACCCAATTCCCAGTCCACTTTTGGATTCCATCATTTCAACCAAGATAATCACAGTATTAAAGGATGGGCCGCGATTGGGGCCACCAGACACTGCAAAGCCTTTCGGTGAGTCCCTACTCTCATTTCAAATTCTTCAGTGTAGAACTCTCCTGGACCCCCTCCCACTGGTGACCCATCCAACTGACTAAGCACAACAGGGGTCTTTAGTCTCCTCACCCTCAGTCCAAGTCCATTCACAGTGACTGGATTGATTAAGCAATGGGTGTACCTCGAATCTATTAACGTGGTTAAATGCACTCTGTGGGTGGTTCTTAGGGCCTCAACATCACCCTGACTGTCATAGGACTCATCCCATCCTCTTCCTCCTCTGACTCTGGTTTCATCTCTGCACGCCGCACTTCGTCTGCTTGGGTTTGGGCGCACTTTAAGATAGGCGGTTGGCGTTTCCTGCCAGCTGATCCTCCTCTTTGGAGGAGTTGCTTTTGATCACCATGGAGCTTTGGAATTTGCCTTCTGCTCTCGATGCTGCAGTTCTTTTCTTTTCTGCCTTAAGACCCTTCAGAGATTTGGCGGGTGGTTTACTTTTGGTAAATAAATAAATGTTTTTGCTCCTTCAGAAACTACACTTTTTCCTATGAATCTCCAATTAGAGGCTTTTAAGATCAGGAAGAGTTGAATTGAGATCCCTTGTTGAGGGAATCTTTGAACTAGGAAAGCAGACCCAGACCCCCCCCATAATTCCCCACAGCAGAGTCAGAGTCTGAAGGGGGGGGAACCACGGGGGAGACTGAGGAAGGATGTGTGGAGGGAAGGAGACTGGGACCCCCCCTTTGAGTTGCTCCTGAGGGGTCTTATGGAAAGACAGGTAGGAGGGCTGAATCTTGGGGAGAGAAGTTAGGGGAAAGCAGGGAAGGTGGGGGGTTCAGGTGAGGGAAGGGCTGGGAGACCCCCATCCAGACACTCTCATTGTGCCCCCTCCCCATATTCCCCCCCAAGGAAGAGGGAGACTGAGGTATGGATCTCACTTTTACTATAGCCCTGAGAGCTTCTGGGTCTCACCTCCCTCCCCCCATCTTTCCTTCCGCTTTGGGAGTCACAGAGATCCAGCCTTTCCTGCAGAGAGTAGGGTGTTCTGCTGCAACATTTGAACTTCTGCCTGCCTTTCTCCAGGGTGGGAGGATGGAGGGGGCTGAACAGTTAGCTCCTCCCCTTCCCCCTCTTTCCTCCCCCTCCAGACCACCAGCAACTCTCCATCTCCCCCAGGGATCCCCGCTGGGACTGACAAACCTCCCCCTACCTCCTACAGGGGGCATCTTGAGGGAGTGACAGCCCTTCGAGGTTGGCCACTGGAAGGAAGGAATGGAGCTTATCCTGCTCGGGGCAGACTGGGGTTCTTCCTTCCCACACCCCCAATGGTGGGGGATGGAGTGGATTGAGCTGGGGGTCTCTTGGGAGGCTCCACACATATCCCCCAGGGAGCCCAGCAAGGAACTGGAGGGGGCATAGAAAGGTCCCTCCGGGTCCCCCTTCCATCTGGGCCCCCCAAAGGATACCCCCTCAGTCTCCTGCAGCAGGTCTCCCCCTCCCCTTCCCGTATGGGTCCCTCCTCTGCTGGCAGCTGGGAGTGATGGGCCCCAGATTCTCTCCTGACCGTTTTCCTCCTCCTCCTCCTCATAGCCCATTTCTTGCACCAGGAGAAGTCTGACTGCCACTTCCTCAATGGGAGGCAGCGGGTGCACTACCTGTATAGGGACATCTACGACCGGCAGGAGATTGTCCACTTCGAGAGCAACATCGGGAGGTTCGTGGCCGTTACCCCGTTGGGGCAGCTGGATGCCGACTATTGGAACAGCCGCCCAGAAGGTGCACATCAAGAGGTCCAGAGTGGATTCCTTCACTGAGAGGCGTACTGTACATGGTGGCCAGCTACAAGCTACAAGCAGACAAGACACAGCGTCTGATTAGCCAGAGAGGTGAGCCTGGGGGGCAGGGGCTTCCAGGGAGGAAATACTGCCCCCTCCCCATTCATTCAATCCATTCAGGTTCTTTCTTTAATTCCTAAAATTAATCTCTACATTTTGAAGATGTTTTCACTAAAACTACCAGTTTTTAGATTCTGACTTTTTGCTGATTAAATCTGTTCCTTCCATTTTCTTGTTAAAAGTATTTTCCCATTCAGAAGAATTTTCTTGTAAAAAAAAGAAAAAAGCATTGTCATCACTTTCAGTTTGGAAAAAAATCCCTTCTTTTAGGTCTTTTGCAAAGATTTTTAATGTTCCAAGACACAAATGTGCTTCCTGTGAAAAAAAAAGCCACAAATGTATTATCTGAGCAGCAACCAGATTAGATCCGAGGTCTTCATTACAATTAACCAAAATGTTTAAAGATAGAATCCTCTTAAATGTTATTCAGTGTTAGTAAAAAAATCCATCAATAAGAAAGACTATTAACAAACTACTCACACAAGACACTAAACAGCCAAAACACTGAAAATAATTTCAAAAAAGGTTAACAATAAGACCCAAACATATCTTTCAGCCCCCCAGAAGCCGAGGCTGCCAGACGCAGAGCCGGAGACGTCTCTCAGGGGAGAAGGAGGGCGGGTGCCCCGTTTATGAGCCATTCGCCTCCCCCCAAAGTAGCAGAAGATGCAGAAGCGTTTTGATTTTCGCAGCCGAGGAGGGAGAGAATCAGCCTCGTCTCACCCACTGACGTCTTCCCGGAAGGCCACGAGCTTCATCGATCCCCCCCAACTCCCCGACCCAAACGCTGAAGGGCACAAGGAC